TGGTAGCTCCATTTCTGCTTGACGTTTCTTGCCACTTTCCTCCGTCTTCTGCTGTTCGGTTGTACCCATCTGGGGCCAGAAACGTCCCTGCTGATCGTCTGGGCTGGGCTGGATAGCGGAAAGCCAAGCACACTCAATCGGCAACGATAGCCCAGGCGCCTCGGAGGTGGCTAGGGAGGTGATCAGGCCTTCTTCAGCAAGGAGAGGGGAGACAGGAACAGCAGGGCGAGGGGCCATTCGAAGGCCAGCACAGCCCAGAGCTGTGCTGGGGAGCTGGGCCGGGCCGTGTCCGTTTTGGGCCTCCCAGAAGGGATATCCGTACATCGGGTGATCCAGATGCAGAGCGCTTTCCCAGACCCATCCTTTAGCCACAAAACGGGCAGGTTTGCTCCTTGCTAAGTGCACGTTCCCCCCCACCCAGGTTTCCCACGCTGGCCGCTCTTGCAAGAGCCCTCTCTAAGGCCGGGAGAATTGAAGGCGGTTTGTTCCCTTCAGCAAACACACTAATTCAGGGACGTTGCTTCTTTCAGATCACCAGAAGCTGGAGCGAGAAGCTCGGATCTGCCGTCTCCTGAAGCACCCCAACATAGGTAAGGCCGTGCTGCTCTCTGCCAGCGCCGGGCAGGCAGGGCAAGGAGCAGAGCAAACCCTTCAGCACCTCCTTCCCCTGCTCCGCACCCTCCGTCTGCACCCGCTCAGAGCCTGCCCCGCTCCCTGCCAGGCCTGCAACCAGCCCCGCGGCCCACATCGATAATTCAACAGCCCTGGCCGCCCCCCCCCCCCCCGCCCGCGGGGAGCCGATGCTGCTGGCGCACGGGTCTGCGGGCAGGGAGAGGGGACTTGGCCCACGGGGCTTCACAGCAGGTTGCCGTTTAATCCAGAGAGCAGTGCCTGGCTCTCCAGCCTCCTCTTCCTTGTGCGGACGCAGCGTCTTCAAACGGGGTCACAAGAAGAAAGGCCTCCGCCGCGCGCGGGGGAGTTTAAGTAGGTCCTAACTAACCCACTTGGCCATAGCTCCCTGTCGGAGAAACAGGGCTCCAGCAGGCTGGAAGGGACTATTTTTACTCTTCTCATGCACCACGGATACTTTATTCCTCTGCATGCTCCAAAAAGAGACTCCAGCTCCGAGCCGCAGCAGAGCTGGGCGTGTGGGAGGAGCGATGGCGGGGGGAAGCGAAGACATTCCCACCGACTGTCCATCTGAGAGTAGCCTCCTTCGGAAAAGCTGTTTCAGGAAAACTCCTGAGCCCCTGCAAAAGACAAAAATAGGCCAGAAGGAGAGAGAGGGGAGGGGAAAAAAATTGCAGCAAAAATCCCAAACCCCAGCCCTGGCAGGGATGCAGATACGCGCTCTCAGTCACTCCGACTGTTGCTGGCGGGAGCCCCTGGGACCAGGGCTGCGGGGGCTGCAGAGCCGGGGTGCCCAGCTGCGGGGATGAACCCCCTTTGCCCCTCCGCAGGAGCCGGGGATCTGCTCACCCCAGTGGGCTCCTGCACCTTTTGGGAGAGCGCTGCAGGGCAGGACGGGAGCTCAGCGGAGGTTTCCCTTCGGCTGAGCTCTCCCCTTGCAGATCCAGCAATCCTGATCCAGGGCCACCGGGACCAGCCAAGCACTCTACCCGCGAGAGGCCAAACGCTGCAATCCTCCCACCTCGCCCCCCTTCCGGCGCTCGCCTGCACACGTGCACGCGGGCGCATGGCTCCCACTTGATAAATCTTTCAGATGGTAAAAAGCCTGTCAGCTCCAATCTGTCTCAGGCAAATGCCTGCAGAGCAGCACCAGGTCTCCTCTGCACCAGCCGGGTGCCAGATCCCGCTGGATCCGGCTGCTGTCCCGGACAAGGGGGTGTTTTCCGTCCCCTGCCTCTGCTCCGGTGGGACGGATGCTCTGCGCGGGAGCACAGGCTGGAAGGCTGATGGGGTTGCACAGAGGGAGAAAGCACAGTGGGCAGCACAGAGATTGGAAAAAGAGCCAATTTTACTTAACAGCTGCATGTTGCAGCCTGCAAACCTCTTGAGCAACACGGCTGCTGGCCGGGTGGGAAAGAGGGAGCAGGCCCGCTGCTCCGGGAACATGAAGTCCCCAGAGACATCCCCCAGGCGGAGGGATGCCCAGGCCCCCGCAGCGAGGCAGAGCTGCCTCGAGTCCCTTGACCAGGCTCAGGCCCAGCCAGCCAGCTTGGCCCTCCTGGGTACATTCAGCTTTTAATGCTGTTATCACCTGGTTTGGGTCTGTTTTTTCCCCTCTTCAAGCACGAGTGCACAGCAGAGAAGTGACCGAGCGGTGAGTTTAGCCTCCCCAGATCAGAGCAGCAGCCGAGGCCTTTCCTTCTGCACCAAAATTTCATACGGCCATTGCTGAGACTTGAAGGAAAGGCAGAGTAAAGCCCAGGAATAGCAAGAAGTGAGAAAGAGGCAGGAGTCCACCCCACGAGCATGGCGAGAGGGAGTAGGTGCTGCGGCAGGGGACGTGCTGTGTCCTAGTGTCCCACGGACAGCGCAGGAGCTCTGGCCGCGTCCATGCTCAGGGCTGAGGTTATCGTTGCATACCTGCATCCCTCTGGCCCTCTTCCCCTTCTAGCCCATATGGGAGCTGGCCACACTGGACTGTTTTTTTTGCAGGGTTTCCGTGTGCAAAAGCACTCCTAACTCCCAGCTTGGGGCCACTGTGGCTGCTCTGATGGCCCCAGTGTTTCACCCCTGCTGCCCACCTCCCTCCTGCCGTGCTGCCCGCCCGCAGGGCTGGCAGGGTCTCCAGCAACAGGAGCACCTCACCGCAGAGCTAGGGCAGGACACCAGCACGTCCTGGATGCTGCAGGACACCCAGCCATGAAGCCCCATGCTGCACTCAGCCATGGGGCAGCTAAGCCCCCTGACAGGTTGTTTTGCCACTGCTTTCTCTTTGGCCTTTTTCCTCTATCTCTTTATCCTGATCATGCCTCCCTGCTGCTCCTCTTCGGGCTGAGGGTCGGGTTCCCATTGCTCTCCTCCCTGCCCTACCCTACGCGCTGCTGTTTGGCAGTGACCTGTACAGATAGCTGTCTTGGAGCAGCTGTGGCCAAGCAGACCCCAGCTGGAAGGAGTTAACAGCATGGGCTGTTAATGGCATGGTCGAGCTGCTATTTATACGCAGGAGGCTCTTCTTTCCTCCCCTTGCCCTCTCTCCCCTCACCCCCCTGCTCCTGCTGCCTGGAAACTCAGACAAGCAGCTCCCCTTGCATGCAATGCAAACAGGCTAATTACCTGCAGAGGAGCTGGAACGAGCTGTGCTGCTGCAGACCAGCGCTAATGAGGAGGAAACGGCCCTGGTACTGCAGGGCACAGCAAGACCGGGGGTCCCCACCACCCTCCCTGCAGAGGTGCACCCCCGGGCTTTCCTGGTGTGGGGTCTCCTGTGGCAAGTTCTTGCCTGCCCCATCTCCTGTGGGAACAGTGTGCCCTGCAGCTAGGGACCCCCCAGGTGTGAGTCTCAAGGAGTTGGCTCTTCTGTCCTGTGCCTGGAGGAGAAGTTTGGGTCAGAAAGCTGCAGGTGGTGAGAGGCAGCTTCAAGTCCTTGTAACCACACAGCTGATCTGCGGGCTCTGGATAACATTAGGGAAAGCTGCAAGTTTTGGCCTTATGCCATTCTGCGGTGGTGCTTTGGCTACCCTTCTTCTTCTGACTCTGAAGACTGAAACTATATCCTGCTCTTTCCTTAGCTCTTGGCACTGAACTGGAGACAGTCTGGCTGGGTGCAGCTCTCCCCGTGTGCCCTTTCTGGCAGGGGTCAGCGGCAGATACCGCTCAGACCAGGCTATATTTGGAGCGACCGCTCCGTGTTGTGCCCTCTTGGGCTCTGGCAGTCAGAGGAACTGGGACTTCCCCAAGCGGAGGGTGTATCCGGACCGTTTGTTTATAGTTAACGACGGTCCAATCCTCACTGAACTTGTCTAATCCTCTTTTGAACATTTTGGATCTGCAGGATCCCAGGAGCAATACCCCCCAAATCCCTGTCAGATGAGATGAAATGGGGAGGAAATGGGTTTCTTTTGATAGAGGAAGGCAGAAAAGCTGGGATTAAGTGTCAAAGAAGAAAAAAAACATTGAACAAACACAAGTATCTGAGTGCAGGGGAAATGTCTGTGGAGGCCTGCAATAGGGAAGTGGTGGGGAATAACCACTAAATAAGATGAACAGCCTTGAGTCAATGTTCAAGGCCACAGAAGAGACCCAAAGGACAGATGCAGCCAGGCGTAGCAAGTCTGTTCTGCCCGTTATTCTGCCAGGAATTGGGCCAAGGGGTGACGTGAGCGTTGCCGGCAGGACGGGTATCGGGCAGTGCAGAGCCCCGGGCAGCCTGGCCCAGGGACTTCAGTGCTGGGGTCACCTGTGACTTAATGAGTGAACCCATTAAGTCGCTAGAGATGCTTAGATGTCTGGGTGGGGGGCGGAGGGCTTTCCTACCCCTTTCCAAGGGTTTTGGTGTTGTGCTTATGGTATAAAAAGGTCTCCAAATTCCCTCTTTCCCCACCTTCTGCGAGCTCTGGTGTGCGTTCCCAGGGTATTCTTGTTCTTGGCAGCTGCTGGATCTGCCCACTGAGCTTGGAGGCAGGGTAATACCAGCAAACCATCGTTTTGCTGCCACCAGGAGATACCCTGCACCAAAACTAGGGCTTGTTATCTCCCCTGGCTGTCTCAGACTCGAGTATGAAGGATATTTCCTACTGATTTAGCTGCAGTAAAGTCAGCTAGGAGCTAAAATCGCACAATAATATTTACCTGAATGTTCCCCCTCCCCCCCGCCCCGATTTCCAAATATAGCTCTGAAAGGCATTGAAAATTGTATCATACCGAAACCAGGTGACAAGCAGGAAGGGGTTAAATATTTACTGCCGCAAAGAAATCAGAACAAAATGTAAGATTCTGGGACAGAGGATGCTGGATTCTGCTCTGATTTACGTGCCAGGCTCTTTTCATCTGTTCTGCCTTATTTCTGTGCTTTTCCCTTTGCTGCGTATCTGACCGCTAAGCTGCGAGCAGGGAACTAAGTCTAAATATTAAGAATTCAGCAAAAGGCTGGCAAGTTTCTCCACTGTGCCCTGCTGGCAGGGAGCGCGCAGGCAGGGAACAGCACCTTTGGGTGCCGCGCTGCCGTGCGACTTGCCCCGTGCCCGACGGGACAGGGTGTCCCTCGGAGAGGCGAGCGGACAGGGCGAGACGCCAGCCCTCCTGGAGCAAGAGAGGAGGCGGGGAGAGCTGTTCTTCTGAAGGAAACTCATCCCTCAGTGATTCCTGGGCATCCCTGACATGAGACGTCCCAAGGAGAAAAGGAAGGTCACAAAAGGCAAAAACTGTGTTGCTGCCAAGGGCCTGGCAGCAGAGCGTCTTGGCAGAGCAGCCTGCGCTCGGGCACCGCTCCTGAGCCAGACCCTAATCCTGGGTGTTGGAGGAGAGCGCTGGCCAGCGACGCGTGCGTCCGCAGCGCTGCCGTGGCCCAGGATAGCCGAGCAGCTGCCCACGACTGTGGCCAGGCGCCACCCCAGGCAGTCCCTCGATTTGGACGTGGCCTTGGAGCCTTGCACCGCTGTCCAAGGCTGGGGCCGCGGCGGGTGCTGGTGGTCGAGCGGGGACGTCCCCCACGGAGCTGCTATAGCTCACGCAGCAGGGAGCAGAAAGGGCCTCGTCCGTGAGGTTTCCCCGGCTGCCACGCTCTGCCCTTCCCGAGCTCCTGGCTGAGCCCAAAGGGCTTTCCCAAAGGGGAAAGGGGGTTTTGCACAAAGCAAAGGCTTTCCCAGGGGCCGGGAGAGGTCCAGGAGCTGCAGAGCTGGGTTGAAGCCAAACCATGACCCCTGTAAACATAATGCTTTTGTCTCCGCTGCAGTGAGGCTCCATGACAGCATCTCCGAAGAGGGTCACCACTACCTGATATTTGACCTGTGAGTAATGGTTAAACTTAGCTCTTAATGCACAATGAGCTGCATGCCTTTACCCTCTCATGGGCTTGCCCGGGTCCCAGAGCATGATGCCTTGGACAAGGGGCTGGTGCTGGACTATGTGCCCTGCACAGCCTCCCCAAACCGTGCGGGTCCTTCCACCTTCCCCGTCCTCCACCTCACAGAAGCCTTTCCAGCATGGGGGGTTTAAGCCTGCTGGGTTAAGTCCAGGTCCCCAACCCGAGTGGCTGGCAGGCTGCCGTTCCCTGCCCTGCGTCCCAGCACCTCTGGGGGCTGTTCCCAAGGGCTGAGCGTGGCGCAAACCGGGCCAGCTCCATCGCGTGCTGAGCAGAGGTGGCTGAGCGTAACTCCACGCCTGTTTTGCTCTCAGGGTCACAGGTGGGGAGCTGTTTGAAGACATCGTGGCCAGAGAGTACTACAGTGAGGCAGACGCCAGGTGAGCAAGGAAAGGGGCAGCAGAGGTGGCAGCACACAACTCCTTCTCCCCTGAGCTGCTCCTCTGTGAGGTCCTACTTGTTTGGCTTTTTGCAATATAAGCTTCCTCCATACTGGGAAGCATTTTCCAGCTGCTCCTCGGAGTGTACTCATGAACCAGGTGTGCAATGCTGCAAAAAAGCTCATCTTAACTCACTCATCTCCTGTACCAAAAGCTGAACGTGTTACTGCAGGGCTGGTCCCCCGCTTTGAAGCCAGGCAGCTGCCAGTCAGCGCTCAGCGTCCTGCTCCCCCGGCTGCTGGCACAGCCTGTGCCTGACCTCTGCGGAGGAGCTGGGGAGCAAGGCTCGCCAGGATGGGAGGGAGCAGCCAGGATCTGGCTGATGCCCCAGTCAGGAGCATGATAGCATAAATGCTCTTTGATTCCTGCCATTTCCCTTGCAGCTACATTGCAGTCATTTGCAAGCATTTCTCTGGCATTTCCACTTGAAAGCACTAATGAGGAGCAGCCAGGACAGGCTGGGTGCGAGGATATGCTGTAGCTATTCTCCCTCCCACGCTGCCACTGGCACATCCCAGGTATCCTGCTGGGTACCATTTTGGCCACCCTTTTGCTTCTTGCAGCTCAGGGAGGAGGATAGCATTAGTCTCGTTTCACCGAGGGGACGTGGTTTGGCTGAGGTCCCTCTCATTGCCCGGGGTAGCTCTCGGAGCAGTCCCCAGATCCCACCGTGCCTGGTGCCATGCCCCTGGCTTTGCCCCCTGTGTGTATTGGAGTAGCCCACAGGGGGGAAGATGAGCACAGCCATCACGAATGTCCGAGGGGTGGGGTGCTAAGGGCTACGCTACCTCTATCTGCATGGAAAATATTCCACTATTTATAGGCATTAAGAGATCTTTTTATTTAATATTCTGCCTACTCTGAGTCCACTTACAACCCATCCACTTATTAGTGTCATATAACTAAAATAAAATGCATGTAAATAAAGACCTTCTGCTTTGCAGACAGCTGTTTTGGTAGGAAAGCGATCATTGCCTCATTCTTTTTCCCTTCCTTTCTCATGCATGCAGCAGAGCTAGGGTTTAATGAGCTATATATAAAGTGGACAGACACAGTGAGAGCCACCTGCATTAGATAAGATGAGGCAAATGGGGCTGAAGTGAACATTAGCTTTACGTCTGAAGAGTTCATCTGCTCTGCCTGGTGTTAAAGCCCAAATCTGGGCTGGCATTGTGGTTCCGCTGCTGGTACCCAACTCCCACAGTGTTGCTTCTGTGAGGAACTGCTTGGCTTTCTCAGCTCCTTATCTCTGGGCAGAATGCAAGTTCTTGCATGGCCCCAGCACTCCTGCTCTGCTGTTCACTGAGGGCTGGATGCTGAGTGAGCCCTGGCTGGGTTTTACTGGCAGTGGCAGTGTTACAACTGCTCTGCAATTCCCAGGCTGTGGGTATGCAGCTTTTGGCAGAGAGAGATGGTGCTGCAGGGCTCCTGGTGGGATGGGGTGATGGAAAACGAAATGCAGGCAAATAGATGTGTCTACGGACGCTCTGCTTTGCTGAAAACTTCACTGAGCTTTCTCCTTCTCTCTCCTGCAGCCACTGCATCCAGCAGATCCTGGAAGCTGTCCTGCATTGCCACCAAATGGGGGTGGTCCATCGGGATCTGAAGGTAAGAGCTGTAGAGGAAGGTCCTGTGGAAGGATGCAGGGACCCCATCTATGACACAAAACCTCAGGGAGTAACGTCCAGAGAAGCTTTGCCCTCTCACGTCCTCTGGGGCAGCTGAAACACTGCAGGGAAGAGTGCTGTGCAGGAGCTTTGGGAAAGCCACAGACAAGCTACGGGGCTTAGCAATACAAGGAAGAGAGAGGATAAAGAGGTCACTGTGGTCCAAGGGCCTCCAAGAAGCCAATTTTCCTCCCAGGAAGATGCAGCTTGACTCACTGAAATGCCTTGCTGTGGAGAGAAAGATGAATAGGACAGCTTGGGGACAGGGGCAGGGAAGCGCTCCCAGATGGGACGGGGAATGGCAGGAGGTTGGTGGCATATTGCAAAGCTTCACATTTCCAGGGAACATCTGAGCACAGAAGAAGGGAAGACGGACAGCATGCGTAGGCAGCAGTGCTCTGAGCCTCTAGCATCACCGTGCTGCTCAGTGCCATGGGGTGCCTCTTGTCACACCACAAGCCTGGCCGCAACGGGCCAAGCTCATCTCCAGTCCCTGTGCCCCAGTTTCTCCCCTTGCAAACCATAGGCCTCCTGTGTGCAGGATCTGCTGCTGCAGCACCAGAACACACAGCAGGACAAGCTAGTCAGGAAGCACGTATAGACCCCCCCCTCCCCAGACCCTTGGCCTACCCAAGACCCGCTTTGGGAAGCTCCCCCACGGCGGCAGAGCCACGGTGTTGGGCACAGCTGATAGCCAGGTGGTTTGAATATCCAACGAGGAGGTTGCTGTTGCAGGTCTCCCAATCTTCCTTCCTCCTGCAGCCAGAGAACCTGCTGCTGGCATCCAAGCTGAAGGGAGCAGCCGTGAAGCTGGCTGACTTTGGCCTCGCCATTGAGGTGGAGGGGGACCAGCAAGCATGGTTTGGTGAGTAGGAATGGCCTGAAGGTGGGCTATTATACAGCCGTCTTTGGCACGTGTTGTTAGGTAGGATCAGCAAGGCCCAGGACTGCTGCAGGACAGGCACGTGTCCCGAGGACCTAAATACCAGGCTATGAGAGCACCCTGGCAGAGCCAGCCCAAGAGGCACAGCGGAGTAGTTCCAGCTGTGCCCTCGAGCCAGCCCCTGTATTGACTGAGGGCACAAGCAAACAGCTCGGTGGGGATTTGGTGAGTCACCAAGATGCTCTGGGGAGCTGGACAAGCCGGTAGTGGAGGCAGACTCAGGTGAGGAAACCCTCCTTCAGGTGCTGAAGGCACATGTCAGAGCACCCCAGGTTCCTGGTGGTTTGTTTCTGTGCTGCTGTCACTGGCCGTTTGCAGAAAGCCATGGCTTGCTCCATACTTGGGGGTCAGAGGGGTTTCGTGTGAGAGGGTGACAGTCCCCAGGACAGGGTTTTTTGTGGTTCTGGAAGCTGATGTCCAGCACAGCTTCAGGTGTGAAGCGAGATCAGCCAGGGAGAAGAAGCTCTCACAAACCTGCTACAAGCTCTCCCAGCACTACTTCCAGGGTCAGGTCTTGCACCTCATTAGCTCACCCTCCCTTGACCCACCTGATCATCTCTTCATTGATGGCATTATCCTGAGGACACAGGGGATGGCACAGGCACTCAGGTGTAAATCCAGCAGGGAAGTCAGAGGATTGGGCTTGGTGCATACGTAGCCATGAGGTGCACGCTCCAGACACAGGCACCCCTTATGCCCTGGCGTGGGGATGGGCTCAGCACCCCTGTGATCCCCTGTACAGCAAGCGTCTAACGCTGGCTGTCCCATCGGTTCATCGTGCCATGCCTGGGGCAAACAGATCTCCTGCAGTGGCTGGCCAAAAGCCAGGTGTTGCTGGAACATGGTGCTGTGATGGGCTGTCTCTCTGTGGTCACTAGGTTTTGCTGGCACTCCGGGATACCTCTCCCCAGAAGTGCTCCGGAAGGATCCCTATGGCAAAGCTGTGGACCTGTGGGCTTGTGGTAAGTCAGACCGGGGTTGAAATGCTGGGAACGAGATCGGCTTTGCAGGGTCAGGCAGGCTGTTGAACCAGCATGTCCTGAGCCACCGTCAGGGGGCCCCTCTCAGTGATGCCAGGGCAGAGTATTCACCTGTGCAGGAGCTGGCACTTGCCCTGTGCTGTCCCCAGAGCAGCAGTCACTTTCCCAGCCCAGCAGCACCCTTCTCTAAAAGCTCAGCCCCCTTCCTCTGGACCCAAAGCCCCCAGCATGGGAGCCGCTGGCCTGTTCCCACCCTATGCTGGGGAGCCAGAGCACTGCAGCTGCAGGGAGCCTCACACCACCTACAACGGGGAGGAGGCATCCCCAGCCC